ATTTTTTTTTTATATTAGTCTCTTGATATCCAAAAATCATACTAGATTTTAATTAATTTAAAATTAAATCATGTCAAACCAATATGGGAAAGCTTTGTCAATGCTTGTTACTCCATTTGTAAGATTCGAAATCGATACCTTATTTAAGGGGAACTAAATTTCTTCCACTCTGACTAATAAGTCATTAGTATTAATTATATATTTATAAAAACATAATAGCATTAATATAGCCTAACACTTTTCAGTATGATCATGACCAAAATTCATTATAGGGGTGGACAAATCTCAATTTCGATTTTAACAAAATTGAGGTTTGATTAACCAAAATTTTTTTTGTTAGAACTTTTAAGATAAAAATCAATACCAAAATACATATTATTGTTTTCACTTCAGTTAACTAAATTTTTGGTTGTTATAAGTTTGGTTTTGGTTTTAATCAATAATTATCAAATATAAAAATAAGATTAAAAATAGTAAATAAATAAGAATAAGATATGAAATTTTAATTTTTTAAAATTTAAAACATATTTTAAATTTAAAACTTAAATTATAACAATATTTATAAAGTAATACTTGAAAAAGTAATTGAATAAGATGAATTTATTTATTAATATAAAATTTTATTTTTCAATATATATTTAACTTTTAATTTTCAAATCCCATAGCCAATAACCAATTAAATTTTTTTATATGACCAAAAAAAAAATAACTAAAAGCCAATTACATCTTATTATTTTATTATTTTTTAATCAATTTTTAATTAATCATTCGATTAACTAACCATTTGTCCACTCATATTCCATTTTATGGTCCGCTGTACCTCTACTTAGTTTTTAAATTTTATTGGAAGAAATCTATGAAGATTTTACAAAATAATAATAATAATAATAACAATAATCCGTATATTAACTGGAATGTGTGTTGACAGCAATCCATCCACTAAAACATATGCTACGTGCAACTATACTGTAAATCCATAAAATTGGGTTTATGTGGATTCCACAGGGATGCATAGAATAAATTAAATTATTTTTCTTTATAATGCTTTCATTGGACAATACTACTGCTCTGTTTCATATTCCTTTTAAGAATTAATTTAGCTAGAAATGATAAAGAGACAAACTCCTAGCATGGGATGCATCCCTAATAATTATTTCTATCCTGTCTTGAAGTGTTTGTAGAATTTTTAAAAACTCGAGAGAAGTGTTTCCTACTTACCACAAAGAAACAAGAAGGTAGAATTATCAAATTGAGGGGTTGTCACTGTAACAATATTTATGAAGGCTTAGCGTAGTGCAAATCATTTTCTTAAATTTTTTTAAAATAATGAATTTATTTAAAAATTTACTTTTATATATTTTTAAAAATTAATATTGAATTAAAAATTTTATTTATGTAAATTATGTATGTTAATTTTTATATTAATCCAATATTTATAATCTTTTGATTAAAGAAGTTATATTTATTGATATATCTTTAATTGTATTAATTTTATTTATCAACACACTGGTTAGATTTACTAAATTAATTTGAAAATCAATATACATAATCTTTATAACTAAAATTTTCAATTTAATTGTTAGTTTTTAAAAATATTAATTATACAAAAAATGAGTTTCTAGACAAGTTCTCCTAAAAAAATTTGAGAAGATAACTTGTAAAATACTTTTTCCATATATGAAAAATTGTTTATCAGCAAAATTTCTAAAAAGATTAGGAGCAAAAATATTCTAAATCACATCATTTTAATAAATTTTCATTAAAAAATGAAAATAATTTATTTTTAGAGTAAGAATAAGATTTTTTTTTCTGGTATTTTATTAAAAAGATAGAATTATAATATTTTTTCTTCTAATTTTTTAATTTTGGGATTTAGTAGAAATATATATATCAGTAAGGATTTATTTATATATAAGTTTTATAAATTACACTTACACAAAATTTCAACTATTCGTCTCTTTACTTTCAATTATTTAGATTTGTTACGATTTTTTTAGTGAAAAGATAATTATTTTTAATAAATATAAATAAATTTTAATTATCGAAAATAAAAAAATTAAGATGTTGTGTAAGTGTGATATATAAAATTTGTATGTAAGTATACCTCTATTTTATATATATA